TAACTGACATTATTTTATCTATTTACTACATTTTTTTTACAATTGTTCTTCTGATTCATCTTACCACAGTGATTGCTAAGACAATCATTTCTGGATGAAAGCAGAAACAAGATGCTGATGGGACTCTCTCTGTGTTATGCAACCATCTGCAGGGGAAATGATTTCCTGATTATCTGTTTCCTAAGGGTGGTCATAGGAGTAAAATTAAAGAACAATATTAACTGCTCTGGGATGGAAAGTGGGAGTGAGAAAGGGAAGTGCTGCAAAAAACATTTGTCTAAGGCTAATCTTTGGAAGGGAATGTAGGGGATGTTATTTTTTGTTTTGTTTTTGTTTCATATGATTTTATAGATTATGAAAATATTGGCTAGGGTTGTGACATCTTCAAAATGAAATTTCTTGAAAAAAATTTGAGGCTTATGGTATGAAGATTGTTCATTCTCTACATTCGTCAGAGTGGAAGATCTCCTGGTTTCTGACTCTTTAATCGACCCTCAGAAGCTAGAGAGGCTGGAATCCCCTATATTCTCCCTGATGTTGCCTAAGACATAAACAATAACAGTTACCTCTTAATGGCTTGGGAATAGAACTCACAAAGCTGAAAAGACATCGAGTTCCCGCTTGCAGATGGCCAAATGCCACTTTACATACATAAACAATTCTATTCCCCATATCATTGTGTCAGATACCAATGTGTTGAAATTGAAAAGAACTCTGTACAAAGAATCAATCCTCTTCCTTGATAGGTATGTGAACTTTTCATTTTTGAAATATTTAGCAAGTAACTTAGTAATAATTATAATTATATACCAATCACATAGCAGATGCTGATCATATAAATATGCCTACATATTTTACATCATTTATTCATAACAACTATGCCTGAGGTATTATAAGATCTCCCAGAAAGATGAGAAACCTGGGGCTAGTTAGTACCTTCTCAGGTCTCCCTAGTAAACCTTAGCAGAGCTTAGACCTGAACTCAAATTTGGCTAGCTCTAACATCTTCAATTTTCCCTACATGTTATATTTTTCTGATTCTTAAAAGCATCCGTATTAGACACAATGAGACACGCAGCATGCCCTCTATAGGGCATAGGATATGTAAAACACTCTTCTCATCTAAGAGGACTGGACTAAGATGGAAGACTTCTCTTCCAGCTCAGAGTTCTAAGTGCACAGGCTACCTTCTCTCTTCAAACTTTTTTCTGCCTGATCCCATTTACTCTACTCTTCTCTCTTTTCCTTTCTTATAGTAGCCCTTAATCGTCCACCAGAAAGAGCATTAATAGCTCCTTAATAATGGATTCCAATTGTGAATATCAGATAATTAGTTCCCTTTCCTTGTATCCTATTATGTATGCATTACAATACCCTTTACTTTCCATCCCACCCCACCTAATTAGTGTCTCCATCTTTAAGGGAGTATGTGTTTCCTAGGGAAAGGACTGAGCCACAGCCAACTGCACATCAGTTTCGCTGCCCAGGAAAAACAAAGAGGACTCTGCTCCTTGCCTGCTGCTTCTTCACTGTTATGTGATTAGTTTCAGAGAAAAAGCAAAAATGAATGGAGGCAGGAAAAGAAAGATTCTCAGTTGAAAATGTTGTCACTGATTTTCTAGAGGGTAAAAAACAGCAGTGACAGAGTAAATTTAAAAATTATAATATGTTCACTCTATGAAAAACTATAGCAAGTAATATAGTAATAATTATTAAGTACAATAATATATTATGAGCTAATGAAAAAGTAACTTTACATATTACTAAGTGGGAAAAATCAAATAATTTTTTGAGAATTATCTAAGTGATACCATTTAATTAAAATCCAGATTTGTATGTATAAAAGTACAGAACACAGAAGAGGTTTAGGAGGACATACAAGGAAATGCTGACGTAGATATTTTGGGGTGAGACCACAAGGATTGGGGAGGATGCAGCACAGTATAGAAGATACCTGCATAACACTCTATGCCAATAGGTTAGTTACAGTGTGAAAAAGAGTTTGAAAATTTGTATCTACTTTTCTCAAAGGGTCCCAAATACAGTCTCATACCTTCTTTCATACCTGCATCATAAATACAAACACATGTGTTAGTGACTCATTTTATACATGAATAAACTGTGTAAATGAGCTGAGAAAATTACAATCCTCAACATCTCTTTCTACAGGTTAGTCATCACATATACACCCACCAGATAAACAGGTTTGAAACTATGAATGTCATGACCATATGCCCAATGACCCCAGGAATTTTTTACACTCATCACTGTATTCATCAAGCACATTTGATGCTTAAGATATTCCAAACAAATACAAAAATATCAGTGAGCAAAACACACCACTGTTTTCATTGACCACTTTCTAGAAAGACCCTATTCCTTCCTAAATTGCTCTAAGAGAAATGGCTCTCCAATAGTGAGCATATTATTAATAATAACAGTTTACATGAGTCATGTGTCAAGTACTAAACAGAAAACTAAATATCTATTACCCTGTTTTATATTTATAGTAGCCAAAGGAGGTTAAAAAAAGAAACACTGTCATTTTCCATGCTTCAGATGAGGGAACTGAAGTTCTAGGAGTTAAATACTTTTCCCTATTTATACAAATATTCAAAGGCAAAATTTGAACAGAAATCTACATATCTAACTCTAAAACCTGTGCTCCTAGTCTCTATTTTTTACTGTTAATGTCATTGTGAAATAAGGTAAAAATAAACCAAAAATGCAAAAGAATCACAAAGCAGAGACTAGAGTTTCTGTGAAGCAATGATTTGCACATACTTTGTGCTGAATCAGAACATAAACAAGGTTTGAAGTAAATAAAATGCTTCCTAGGAAATTACTAGGCAATATGGTCAATAATAATTCTCTAAAATATAGCACTGAGTATTTTAGGATATCAAAATGAACATGCCAATAGGATTATGTTGGGAGACAATTTTGCCTGCAATGTAGGTATTGCTCCCATTTCTCCTCAGCTATTGGGAACGTGTATCCCATCATCAACAACTATATAGGATATATGGCAAAAAGATTTGGATGATTCATTAAATGCAAAGTTTTGGCAGAACATATGGGGAAGTGTTTATAAAGCAGTTTGTGAAACAAGACTGCAACAAATTCAGGTTAATATTCTTCCCAGAACCTGCTGGTCCTCATCCAGATAGGGTTATAGACAGATGCTTCATTTTAGAAATGCTGAAAACACAGAGCTCTTGTTCTTTGTTGCATCAGTTGGGACCTGATCTTACCTTAAAGAAGTAAGCCTAATTCCTTTTTATCAATACGAGGTCTTTGGGTGGGTAATTCTAGAACACAGCACATTATCAACAAAGCAATAATATATATTTTCTTTTGAGCTATGCAACCAATATTATGAATTGGGAATGAACAGTGGCCATACTCAAGCCATTAAGGAAACTGCTAGGACAGAAAGACTGACTGGAGTAGTATTAGATGGAGTTTAAATTGTTTTAGTAAGATAGGATCTGGACCATTCACTGGTTCATAAGCAACAGGCTTTGCCAAAGAATCAACTTTATGTTTTGCCTCCAAATTTTACCTCATATAACATGGGAAACTGCTATTATTTAAATTATACAAGCTACCCTGAGTTTGCCAGGAGCTCTTTGTCACCCCCTTTATGGGAGAACTTGCTAGCTGAATGTTGATCAAATTTTAATGGGAGAGAAAAAAAAAAGTTCATTTTTTTTTCTTTAGGTCATTGGGGTAAAGAGAAGTTGGGAACAATGCTAGACCTAATACTAGCAGACAGTTCTGCAGTGCTTTGAATGTTATGAGTTCCTGTTGGCTCAACTTTTGACGCAGACTGGCCTGAGTGAGCTCCAGAAAAATCTCAAGAATGTCAGGTGATGCCTCAGTCCATCAACAACCAGGAGGAGTGCTGCTGCTGTGGCCCAGGAAAGAGTCTGGTCATGGGACTAAACATGGCCCAGAGCTTTTGGGCAGGGACAGCAGTCTTCTGTCTGCCTAAGGTGGCTACCATTTTGTGGTAGAGAGCATCTATAGGGAAACTCCTTGATTCACTGCCTTCTGCAGTTGTCAGCTGCTCCAACTCCGGTCTCAGAGTCTTCATGGTAAGAATCCACCATCACTGTTGACAGGGAAGTTATGAAAGTAATGAGATCTACAAGTCTCTGTGACTATGTTGACGAGTGTTATAAACTTCCTGGAAGAGGATCTGATTTCTGTATCATATACAATCTTGAACCATGCTGAAGAGATACATCAGACAGTGAAGGAGGCACCAAGGGCACGAGATCTTGGAAAGACAACATTAACTAAACCCAGTTAATGAGTTCCTAGCTTGGCCAAGCTTTGTGCTGCTGCTTCATTTCAATTATTTAACTGAATCTCACAATAACCCTACGAGGTGAGAATTACTAGTCCCATTTGACAGCTCCATTGGTCACATGTTGAAGTTAGAAAGTTTTTTAAAAAAAAATATCTTGCCTAAAATCTGGCTGATGCGATTGCTCTTCTGTTGACCAAAATTCTATTCACTGGAGTCCTGAGCAGACAACTCAGGATTTCCAGGAGCACAGTCCTTGTATGCGCCAGCTGGCCCCAGAGGCAGCCAACATTCTTTGGGCTGCACACCCGTGATGGGAGGCTGGAGTCCAGCACTCTGTACAGCTGGCTCACAAGCAAGCCTCTATTTTCCCTCTGGAACTCCTTCTGTCTACAGGTTAATGATGCTCAGGCCTTTCTTTGTTAAATCTGGCTGGACTATAAATGAGAATAATACTTTGCATTTCTACCAAGACTCTTATCTGAAAGTCTAAAGGATTTTACAAATTACATTCAGTAACCACTCTCTCACTCTAGTTTAGGTAAACATTTTGGAAATAAATAACAAAGTGATGCAGATTTAGTAACTTGAGGGTTTTAATAACCACTTAATCAATTGTTAATGAAGCATCCATGGCTCTCACTGAGGTGGTTGGTGGTAGAATGATGAATTTCTAGACATTAGGCAAGTTTTAATACAGGCTTTAATAGAACATGTTTCTGTCATTCAGCACATCAAAATCTGTGACTTCAGTATGGTATGCGCAAGCCATGATTCCCTCTTCATGGTAATTAAGTCAATCCCACTGGGAGCAGGGAGGACAGCAGAGGCGATAGCCTAATAGCTGCAACCTAGAAAGTTCCATCCTATTATTTGCTTCTTATGAAAATGTCAGTCTAAGTGACAGGTTCTTGAGAGCTTGTTTGGAGGTTCTAGCAGGGGAGCACAGCTACTCGTATACCCTTGACTGAAGAACGGTCCTCCTCTATAGGAGAAGGTCATCCTCTTCGACCGAGCACGCAGCTTCAGGAGGGATGCACATGGAGTGGTGAGGGAGGAAGGGGACACCCGCCTAGCCAACCAGGTCAGCCGAATCAATCCTGGCCATCAATGGGCTGACAGATGTCACATCCAGATGGTCCTCACATCCATAAGTGACAGGTTCTCTACATGAAAATTGACCATTGTTATCAAACTCTCCCTCTTTAGAGTGTTAGGAAACATACCTAGATGCTGAATTTGCTGGGCTTAAATATCAGCTCTATCATAAGCCATTTTGATGTACTAGGTAAATTATTCAAAATTTCTTTGTCTCAGTTTTATCATTCATAAAATGGGAGTAATAAAACAGGTCCCACTCAAAGGTTTGCTGGTGAGGATCAATTAAGTTAATGTATGAAAACTGTTTAGAACAGAACCTGTCATACTTTAGGCTCTATATAAATGTTGGCTACCAATATTATAATGAATATCAATGTCAAAAATCTGTACATGAAATAAACCATACTATAGCTTTGGTATGTTTTTTGCCTTTCCACATGATTCTAAGAAAACATTTATAGTAGTTCCCCCTATCTGCAGTGGATGCCTGAATTTGCAAATACTGTCAAACCCTGTATATGTGTGTGTGTGTGTGTGTGTATGTGTGTGTATATATCTATAACTTTTCCATAACTTATTTATAAATAAGGCACAAGAGATTAACCATAATTAATAATAAAAATAGCTTAAGTATAAAGATACACTGTACTAAAGTTATATAAATAAGTATATGAATATGATCTCTCTTTCAAAATAGCTTATGATACTGTACTCACCCTCGATTTCTTTTTCAATATTAAGGTCAACTTTTTTCCTTTCGACTAATTATTTTACTTCTTCTCTTTGGCATATTAAAATTGCATGAATATTCTCTTACTCTTGGAGGCCCTAAGGTAAAATAAAGGTTACTTGAACACATGCATTGGGATACCATGACAGTTGATCTGATAACTAAGATAATGTCTTAGTTTATTTCAAAATACCTGATATTAATACCTGTAATTTGCTTTAGCAAAGGTTTATTTGGCTCAGGATTCTGGTGGCTGGGGAAATCCAAGTAACCTGGCACCATTTTCTGCCAAGGATCTCCCTGGCTTTATCACAGCATGGCAAGGAAGTGGAAGGTGAACTAGGTGGTGCCAAAGTGACCGAGCCCATAGGGTATCTTCACTTTTTAATAACTCACTCACATGGCAACTAATCTAGTCCTGTAAGACCTTACTCATTTCTTTAAGATGAACATTAATCTGTTCCCAGTGTAGTGGTTTCATGACCCAAAATACCTCTGAAGGCACAACCACCTCTCCATGCCATTATTTGGGGGACCAAGCCCTAACCTGAGTGTTGACGAGGACAATTACATTCAGACTACAGCAGCCATGAAGTGTCGATGGGCCAAAAGAGTGTGCAGCATAAATGTGCAGGACAGAGCTGTGGTTCTCAAGGCAAGATGGAGTGGGTTGATACGAGATGTCTTTTCACTACTCAGAAGACTGTTTAACACTTACTATGTATTTCTGAAATCTTTCCGCTTAATACTTTGAAAGCATGGTTGACCATAGGTAACTGAAACCAGAGAAAGGGGATCTACAGAAAGGGACTGCATTGTCTCCATGTAGATCTTTTCATTTACAACTGAACTATAGAGAAAACAACTTACCCAAGTAAAGAAATACCCTCCTCATGTTACCACTGTAGATAATCTCAAAATCAAGATGTGAATTTACCTTCTAGAGAAAATTTGGGGAGTCACTGTATTCTAATATCCAATATTGAATATGTTAAATGTCATTTGAATTTGCCTCTTCCTTCCTTGATAAACATACTTCTGAGTTTCTCATAAAACCTTTTACTATTAAAATACTTTCTTCAATTTTCCAGATATATATTTCTCATGTTTGAAACCAAAATTTTGTTTTCTCTACTCTTGTTCTCAATGCTCACCATTTATGTTACCACGGACATTCATTTCATTTTCTCTTGACTTAATATAACTTCATATTCAATAATCTTTCTCCCATTTTAAACCCCAACACCCATATCTAGCTTCAAAAATGAATGTCCTTTCTCCTTCACTTTTCATTTTATCTGGTTTCTTTCTACTAGATTCTAAATTTACTTTACTTCTCCACCAAGAATTTTTCTCCTGAAAACTTTGACATAAATCCCTAAAAGTCTAATTTCTGGTAGTGATGATTCCACCCTTCTTTCCATTCCACCAGCTCTTGGGGGGAAGTGCCTTTATCTTGGCTTCTTTTGGATGTGTAACACTTTGAAATCATCTTGGGGAAAAAATCAATATTTTAAGGACAATTCAACCAATAACATAGCTCCTCTATTATCCTAAATACAGCACTGGGAATATTCCCATTTGGGCCATATAAATCCCAGTCTTTAATGAGGAGTTTCCTTATTCATTTCAAATAGACAGACAAGTACAGTAAATTCCTCAAAATGAAATGTGACTGACAGATAAATAGTACTCAGGAGAATGAACAAAAAAATCCCCAATGGCTTCTACATACTCCAACTACCCCATATAGTGTTTTGTGAATAGTTCTAGAGCCTTCGATGGGTCAGCACAGTTAGCAGAGCAGGCTGCCAGAGAGCCAGATGTTGCTGTTGGAAAGACATCAGCAGCACCTCGTGCACTGAGCCATGGGCTACAGAGGAGAGGCTAGACGGCAAATAAACTTTGATCCTTTTATTAGAGTCATTCAGATGACAATTGCTAAAAAATATTGTTGTGTTGGGCTTTTTTCTTTTTTCTTTTTTTTTTCCCTCCTTGTAGAACTTGCCTTAGGCAATGGAGATTACGGAGATTAGAAATAAGCAGATGTTAAATTCTTGGTAAAAATAAAAAAAAGAGACTGAGGCAGAGAGAGACCAATTTTCACTACTCAAGGAACATGCTTTTTTTTTTTTGTCCCTCCTAGAATGAAATACAGCATGTTCCGCGTTTGAGTTCAATAACTATGCAGAGCCAAAGCAGCCCCAGCATCCATTGGGAACATTTTCCTTGGCATCGTTCTGCACATTTTGGATTGAACGCTGTTCTTTCTGAACTGACAAAGAACTTAGGTAATGCTTTTTTTTTTTTTTTTGAAAGAACTTTTAAAATATATTGGCAATGAAGCTAATCACACTTCGAAAGTTCCCTTTTTCTAGTAATCGCAAAACAATTGACAAACACAACTGGAAAGAACATTTTTTTATGTTAAGTAAAGGTTTGTTTTATCCACTGTTAAGGTTTATCCATCTGTTGAAACCATTTGGTACTTGGAAATACAGAGTAGCACTTTAGAACATTTACTGAAGAAAAATGATGTGTCTGACTTCTAGCACAAGATTCTCCTTAAAGAGAATCTGCACTGGGAAATTTGGTCCTTGAACAGTGCAAACAGCAGTGAACTTCCCTCAGGAAGAGCAAGGGTCTCTTTTCACATTCCTTATTTGCCAGCACGTAAACTCTCTTGTCATTGGATAATAAAACTCTATAGACAATTAGAAATGTCACTAAAAAATAACATTTCCTTCATCACCATCCCTACCCGCCTCATGATGATCATTACTATTGTCACTGCCTGCAGGACCCTCACTACAAGTGGGTCCTCCATCACCATGGCTAGCCTGCAGCCCCTCCCAATCACCACCCAATCACCACCATAGCCATAACCACATCCTCATTACCAAAGCAACATCCACTATCACCCTCATCCTCATCACTACCGTCTCTCTCAGTACTACCTCTCCTGCTAGTATCTCCCCTGCTTCTGTTTCCTTCCTCACTACCACCTTCACCAAGAAAATGTTTCAGGATGTTTTCTCCTTCTCATTTTCACCTGTAGACATGGAATGTTATTCTAATGCCCAGCTCCACTATCATTTTTTTTAATAACAATCCATCCCAGCCAGAAATAACTCTATCTATATTACTCTTAGCTTCCTTGGGTTAATGTTACTATATTGCAGCTTCTTAGATGTTTTTCCTCACTTACTATTTCTTCTAGACATTCCTTCACAGTCTATTATCTCCCATGCTACGCACTCCACAGGAAGGTAATAAAGATTAAATGAATGAAAAAGAAAAAAAATTCTCATGTCCCTCTTTTATTCTTCACCCTCTCAGAATGCCTAAAAGTAATCAAATGGTGAGACTTTGAGCAATGGAAGGGTCACTAGGGTCTTGACTCTACAAATATTAGGACAATAGCCATCAAATAACTAAGATTTCCCTGTATGTATTTGTATAACTTAAGAATCTTTGCTCCTGTTATTAAGTTCTATGGAATAAAAAAATTCTGTAAAATTTTTAAAAAGGGAAAAAAAGGGTAGCAAAGCACTAGGAATAGTACAAACTGATAACAGCAAATTCTTTATCAGATTTTAGTCACTTTCTTTAGCAGGGATTTCCTCAGGGGAAGGAACAGAATAGAATTATAATAACTAACGATGATTCCTATAATATGCAGCCAGAAGACCTAGGACAAGTTAAGAGATTGATTAGGAAAGTTAGTGTTGTTTGTCCCAGGCAACCTCTGTATTAATTATCTATGTTGTATTCATTTGTATAAAACTTCCTGTTTGCATGCAATTTATATGGAAGGGGAAAGTATTTGATGCCTTCTGGAGTTCTTTGCTGCCCTGCTAGGACTTTCTATCATCTGTGGACAGGATTTGTTTTTACAAATCCCCTGAAACATGAATCATGGTTCTAGCTGCAGAAAGAAACATTCCTGAAAGTACTTTATCTCAGCCATGGCCTCAAAGCTGCCCTTGCAAAGTTTGTGAAATCTAATGGGATTATGGGGACAAGATGGAAAGAGACTGTCAGCATCTCTCACATGGGATAATGGCAATAATTAATTCTAAAAATGCTTTGTCTTCTTGCAGCCACTTCATCAGAGAGGCTCACATTTTCCTCACAGCAGCAGCATCTCTACAGAGAGGAGTTCCTAGGGAGAGCAGGAGCCAGAGGCGGAGGGGAAGGTTTGTGTGTTGCAGCCCAAAGAACGTAATCACCAAGATGTATAGTTTGATGGTCGCCTGGTTTCAGGGTTAGGGAGGAGGATATTTGTTTCATTTCCAACTCTTTGCTAATAAACTTATACAACTGGGGTTCATCTAATCATTATCTGCTCAAACTGTTAAGATTAATTTCCTAGCCGACGCAATCAGAAAAGAAGCCGTGCGATGTGATTCTTGGTTAATGTTGTTCCAGAAACATCAGGATCTAATGAATGGAGAGTCCTGGCCTCGGAGCAAAACTGATCTGATTCTTCTGCCAAGTCCTTTTCTGGCTGACTCAATCACTTCTTGATTAAATGGGCTCAACAGTGAGTTCCTCAGATCCTTGAGTAAGTAATTAAACTGCTCTGACCTGAAATCCCTTATCTTTAAAATAGGGATTTCGTACGTTTTTATAAAGCCATAATTTCTACCATGCCCCAATACCTCTCTGAGTGGAAGGGAAGATGCCTATACTATGAGTTAAACTTCTCTTCCACACCATTGTGTACTGAAGGTACAGTTAGCCCTTTGCCTTGACATACCTTTCATTTATTCAACAGGTGTTTATTGAACTTCTACAAGGTGCTTGGCATTGTGCTGAATACTAGGTATGCAGAGATCAAGCATAGATATAGTTACCTGCTTTGTGGAACCTATAATCTAGTGTTGGAGCCATATATTAATAAAGTATGTATACAAGTAAACGTATAATTACAACTCTGGAAGGAAAAGGAAGAATAAAGCATGATGCCAAGTGGGATTCAGGTACCCTGCCCATCACATGTTCTCAAGTCAAACATGTTAGCAGCATGGCTGTAATAAAAGAGATTGGGGGAAAGAGAAGGAAACTGAAGTTTGTCATGGTTCATGGAAAACAA